TTAACAAATAAACAACAGAGCAGATTTTTCAGCCATTCTTCTCTGAAAAATGAGAAAAACTCTGTTGTTTATTTGTTAAATGATGAAAGGAAAATATTAAAATATGAAGAATTTGGCTGTAAATATACTTTGATCTTTTCCTCTGAGGTTTATTAAAATGGGATTGGAAATATTCCAAATGCTATGCTAATTATAATTTAAAAACTTCTATAAAAACTTGCACAACCAATTCTCTTAAGCTGCATGAAATAAAGATATATAAAATACTTTTTGTGGATGGATAAAAAAATAATTTGATTTTGAGAAAACTTTGGAACCTCTAATCGTTTATTTTATTAAATAAACTTTAACGGAGAGGAAATTTGATGCATTAGAACTAAACTCCTGAAATGTCCAATTCCAACTAAATTTGAAACAGAAAAATTATCTAATTCTGCCGAGGCAAAAATAGAGCAGAAAGAAATTAATTTAAACTGTTTAGTTTCATAGTCTTTGCTTTTATCTCTTCTTTATCCTGGAAAATAGTCAAATATTACATTTTATTAACGGACAAAAAAAGTTGAATATTTCATAAAAACATTATTTGCTATATTCCCCGTTAACAAACGTTTCACTAAAATCTTACCATGTTTGATGGCGTAAAAAAAAAAACTGTTTCTTCTACTTTGTAAATCTCTAAATAATATAATTTTGGCCCCCGGCAATTAAACTTCTCTTTGATAATAATTTAGATCTTTTTTTTAACTCAGTAATTGGTGCTTTTGTTTCTACTTATTTTTTTCTTTTTTGTTGTTATTTTTCTATTTTATTTATCTGCCTTATCTTTTCTATATATTATTATTAAAGAGGTTTTACTGTTTTTAATGTTTTACCTTGAAGATGTTTCCTAAAGTGAATTAAATGTTTTTATGTCTTTATTCTTGTTTTGATATCAGAGCCTGTTTGCTCTATTTTATATCTTTAGTTCTTTCTTTTAAAACAAAAACAAACTTTTATCTGTTAACCTTTGTTATTTATATATTTTCTTACTTTTGTTATTTCTACCTGATCAGGTGGTTTTATTCTCTGATTGAAGGAAATCTAATGTTTCCGTTCCGAGGCGGAACCTTTTATCCGGCCCTTAGTTTTGTTTCCGGAGGAACTCTAAGAACACCGGGACCTCTGTCTACCTGCGCTCAGCTGATCCGGGTCCAGGTCCTGCAGGTCGGTGGTGAACTGGAAACCAGTTCTGACCAGCTTCACCTTCACACTGGAGCTCAAACGCAGACTGGAGACGGGCCTCCTCATCCTCACTGCGATCAAAGCAGCCCGGCTCCGCCCGGCACTTCCGCTTCCGCTTTTCAAAGTAAAAGTCTTTGCTGGTTTAAGCTCTGGTTCTGCTGTTCGGTGCAGCTGCTTGCATCCAGTTTCCCCTAAAATGATGGAATTAGGTTGAAGTCAATAATATACCTGTGAAAATAAAATCACAATTTTTAGGAATAATTTTTAAAAAGAATGAAATCTTATTTTATTGGCTGATTCTAAAAATATAAAAGATATTTTCAATTTAAACATATATATGAAATAATACAATATAGCCTCCAATAACTCAATGATATCATTGTTTTAGGCCAACAAATTAATTTATTTCAGTCTGTCCAATCAGCTGCCTGTAGTGTCTTTAAATGTCCAGCAGGTGTCAGTATTCTGTGATACAGAATCAATACAGTTTGGCTTCCAGATGAATCATTAACGTCATAAACTTTTTTCACTGGAAATAAGCAGGAAAATTCCACCAATTATCGGACAGGAAATTTTTATTATCCTGTCAGAAAAATTATAATTATAAATGAGTTATTTTGGAAAAGACAACCGGAAGGAAGGTAAATCAATTATTAAGAGTAAAGAAATGGAAAAATAGCAGAAGAGGTGAAACGAAGATAAGAATGACAGAGGATTATATAAAATCAGTCTTAAATAAAATCATTGATGTGAGAAACAGAAGGGAAGAAGTAATAATGATCAGATTAAGAGTGGCTTAGACCAATTTAAATGACAATTTATATTTAATAGGGAGGATAAATAATGATAAATGTGAAGGATGTGGAGAAAAAGAAAATGTAGAACTACTGATGATCTGTAAAACTTATAAACATGAAAAAGAGAAATTAAGAATAATAATTGGAAGGAAAAGAAAAGAATGAAGTCTGTTGGGAAATGATATAAATGATTGATATAAATGATATTCACAGATTAATGAAAGCATTATTTATTTATCTACACAATACAAAATAAAAAAAATAGAATTACATGTAATATAATGTTGCTGCGCACCATGTACAGTAGGTGGCGCTATGCAGCTTAAAGCTGCTGGCGAGCCGCCATAATAGGAAAGAAGAAGAAGACAACCGGAAGCTAGCTGGTAAATAGATCGCGGCTATGTGACGTCATCCGGACGCGACCGCAGTTCCACGTGAGGCTGCAGCGGTTTGTTGATGAGGAATTGATCTGTGGCTGATCGATCAGGTCAGTTGATCAGTTATTGGTGATTATAGATGATAATAACCGCAGCAGCGCCGCCATCCGGCCGGTCGGAGGGATGCTGCTGTTGGTTTGAAGGGTTTCCTCTGGTTCTGATCCATACGGGCAGAACCAGGACCGGTTCTGGGCTCTGAGCTCCTCCTCAGCTGGTGGATCTGATCCTCTGGTCTAAAATATTTACTCATCCAAACATGTCTGATTATTCATCTAATTTTATTTTATTATAATAATCTGGTAGAAAAAGTCTTTTCTTACAAACAAACCAAGTGAAGCTAAAACTGGATCAACAAACAGGTTTTATTATCTTTATATGGATTTTTTTGTAGATTTTTGTTTTTCTTTCTGCTTTTGTCTGATCTGATTCCAGAGAATAAATATGTTCATTTCTGCTCATTTTTACCTTCCTAAAGGAAAAGTTCGGTCATATTCAGCATTTAAACTTCTGAAAGTTCTTTAAATCTG